GGGGTGACACTGAGGGTTGCAATCCGTTGCCGGACACGGAAAAAGACAAAAAAAAAAAAAAGAACATGACGTGATGTATTCTGGTTAAAAAACAAATGACTTATTGAGCTAAGAAAAGAGATAATAAATATAATTTTGAAGTAATTAGAGAAGATTATCCTGACAAAAAAATAAACTCATCCATAAGGATCTTGCAGATAAAATTCTAGGGACACATTCTCTTAGTAACTATTGCAGATGAGGCTCTTAAAACAAAACAAACTTTTGATTATTTGTAAAAATTACCAAAGACAATTGTTGATATCTTCCATTTCAGATAGGAAAATATGCAAAAATTTTTTTATTTCAAATATTGTAAGTGGAATAAAGTGAGTGACAGGTTCTTTTATTGCCTTGTGTCAGGCCTTGGAAAAATTTATTACGGTAATGGTATCGTCTATATTTTTGCAATCTAGCTTTTACTGTAAGTGTTACCAAAGAAGAGCTCAAATAAAGCAACAAAATTTTCTCCCATGACACATTTTTTGCTATTAATTTATAGTAGTATTATTTATCTCTCACTACATTGCACATCAAGACTGAACTTCATGGCTCTTCATCTATTTTACCTTTACATTTATTTTGAGGGAATAAAATGTGTGGAAATTTTTGCAGGGCCTCTTTCTCCCCTAACACACATGCACAACTGCACAGAAGTTAGAATTAGTTAAATCAAGCAGTGCATAATCATCCACATTTAAATGGAATTTGGTTAAAAAGAACTTGAATTCAATTTTTTTTCTGAAACTTACATGACAAAGGACATTCATGAACAACTACTATTTTACCACTGAGTATTTGATTCCCATAAGAAATATCTCACTCTTTTTCCCCAACCATACTCACACCTTTTTTTTTTTTTTTAAGTAGTAGGGTCTAGGGAGTGCAATTATAATTTGATATGAAATAAGTCCTGGGTTGGTCTCTCATGTTTGACCGTTTAGATAAATACCTGGAAATAAACTTGAATAAGGATTTGGATTTTATGGACTCTTTATTAAGATATTAAGGTATTGAAAATAATACACATTAACCACAAAAGAGCAATATTCCATTTCTTAAAGTACATATGATATTATGGACTATATGAACATACTATCTTTTCAAGTTTTATAATTAGTAATTATCACATAAGTTGATGCAGAGAGTGAAATTACTATGAGTTAAACTTCTGTTTGCAAACAGTGTACAATATTTTACATGTATTGACTTTATTTAACTTTAAAGTTTTCTTTCCAAAGTTACATTAAGTGGCTGATGCATATATTGTTATTAAGCAGTTACTCTCATTGTCTTCTCATACATGCAAACATTTTGCTAAATATAAATCTACAAGTTTCACAGCTGCATATATTTCAGAAGTGGTCCGAGCAGAGGAAAATGCTGGAAAGTTTGAGTTCTTTCAAATCTTAATTCAAAACAGGAGATTTTCATCTATGTCTTCTGTAAAAAACGAAACAGGAAACACTTTTAGAAAGCAGCCAGAGCAGTAGCATTAAAAAAACAACGTTAGAGCTGGGAGACTAGGGAAACCATCTAATAAGGCAGTTCGACGGTGTTGATGCCTTGTAAGACATCAACATCACCCATGAAATTTAAAAACTATATATTCTTAGGCTCCACCCCTGGCCTCTGGGGTCAGAATTCTAAGGGTGGGCCAGTGTATACATGTAGAAAACTTTGCAGGTAGTTCTGCTGCAGAGTTGAGAACCAGAGGTAGAGGAACACCAGGTTAAAGGAAGACCCAGCCAAGAAATGCCAAGTATACTAATCTGTAAGGGAGCTAAAATGTAATGAATTAAATAGAAGTATAGTGCCAGTTAAATCATTTCCAACTGGGTAACTTGTATAAGAACTCGTCACATCTGTGAAAAAAGACAGCATTCTCTAGTGGATGTAAGACGCTTCTTACCAGTATAGTAATTATTAAACATATATTTAAAGCAGATTAATTTGAAGTATACTAAACTACTACTCTGTCTGGGGCCCCCGGTAATTTTCTTGTCGAATACAAGTCTTCATCCAGCTCAGAAAGAGGGAAAGATTATGGACTTCTGTATCTGTGGGTTCCACATCCATAGATTCAACCAACCATGGTTTGAAAATATTTGAAAAGAAACATTGCATCTGTACTAAACATCCACAGACTTTTTTTCCCTTGCCATTTTTCCCTAAACAATGCAGCCTAACAACTATTTACATAGGTTTGCATTGTATTAGGTATTACAGGTAATTGAGAGATGATCTAAAACATATAGAGGACGTGCATAGGTTATATGCAAATACTATGCCATTTTATATCAAGACCTTGAGCACCCATGGATTTCAGTATGTCTGGGAACCAACCCCAGAACCAATCCCCCATGGGTACTGAGGGACAACTGTATTTCTTTTGAATACTGGCGTCATTTGTAAAATGGGGTAATAATTTTATTACTTATAAATTTATTTATGGTTGCACATATATTCTTTGTCTTCTTTCTGTTGTTAGGATGAGAGATGTCCTTCCTGTTGACCTTATGAGTAATTCCTTTGCCTGTGCTCAAGATCTCTTCTGACCTCAGTACTCTCCTTCTATATTCCTCTCTCTCTCTCTCTCTCTTTTTTTTTTTATATATATATATATCCTCAACCTTTGCTTTTTCACTGGGCCCTCCTCATTAGCATTTAAATATGCTGTATATCCAGCCTTTAGAACAGTGCCTGGAGCTATGTAGACCATCAATAAAAATCCATTGAGCAAATAAGTGAATAAACGAATGAATGAATGGAGTGTTCAAGATTCTTTTATTCTCAAAAATGCTTCCTTCAACTTTATATCCCCCTCTAGCTCTTTCCTGCCTTCAAACATTCACTCTTTACCCTTTCCCATCTCCCGTTTCTCAACCTGTAGAATCTGGCTTCCATCCCTACAATTCCTCCCAAACTGTTCTTACCAAGGCCACCAGGATATCCTTATTGATCATTCTCAGTCTTTTATCTTCCTTGACATCTCAGCAGCATTTGGCACTGTTGCTCTCTCCCTCTTCTCTGAAACACCGTTAACATGGCACTATCCTCATTTTCTTTCATTTTAGGAGAGACTCTTCATTCCCTTTGGTGATCTCCGTCTTGCTGCTCTATCATCTAGGTGTTGTTCTTGGGTGTTTGACCTTAGACCCTTTTCCATGTAACTCAACACATTTTCCTTGGGGGAATTAATTCCCTTCCCTGGTGCTGATTGCTCTCTGTGTGCTCATAATCCCCAAATATGTATTTCAGTTGCAAAGGTCTGTCTTGAAATGGAGACCCATATATTCAGCTACCAATGGTACATTGTCTCCCAAGTACTTAAAAATTTAATGTGTCCAAATGGAGTTTGTCATTTGGATGATTCCCCAAATTGTCTTCTGTCCTTGTCTTTTCCATCTCAGTGAAAGGTCCTCTAGTTATCCTGCTTGGCCTGAGCCAGGAACCTGGGCATTGCACTTGTCTTTCTCTCAATCTCTCACCTGTCTGCTTCCCCCCACCCCATATTTCCTGTCAGACGCTCTTCTTATGTCTACATGCTATGCAACTTGAGTATGCTTATATTTTTAAGTATATCTGGAATATGTTTACTTCTCTTTTTCTCTACTTCCACTCCCCTAGTTCAAGTTCTCATCAGTTCTTGCCTGAATTTACTGCAACATCTCAAATCCTCTCTGGCCTCACCATAATGTAACTGGAAGATGTGTTCTTAAATATAAACTCAGGGAAATCACTCCCTTATTTGAAACACCGGTGATTCCCCAGTACTCCTAGGATGGTATCTTTATATAGCTTAGTAGGACTTGCATGATCTGACTTGTTTACCCTATCAGTCTCACTTGGAAGATTTTTCTAAAGATTGACATGGTTGTAAGTCAACATATGGTATGTCATGGGTGCTAAATCAATGAAGACTCCTCCACCTCTTGATTGGCCCACACTTTTACAGATATGGAAAATGAGACTCACTGAAGCATAAGTGGCATGCCCTGATTCACATAGCTAGTTAATGACACAGCTGGAGTATTTGAAAACATCTAGTTCAGATCACAGGCAGTTAAAATTCAGGAAAACACTGGCTAAAATTTATCTCCTTTTGTGGATTTCTCAGCCCTGAAGGAAGGAAGGATGTACTTATAAATAGAGATTT